AGACATATGCTTCAGCAACAAGCGGACTATGTGACTTTGTAACCATGAGACCAGTGACCAATGTGGATTAATGTCTGCATTCAAGTAATGCTGTAATTTCATCACATTTGTGCTTATTTTATCGATCTTTTATGTACAAATAGGGAATTTGAAGGCGTGAGCCTATTTCCCTTAAATACATTGACTGACTCACTCTGTCTTGACACCGTGCCAAGGTGTGGGAGGAGGGAGTGCGGTAGATATTGCGCAAGTCTGCATTCACTATAAACTAGTTTGCACACAAGTCACCGTCCCTGCTCTCACCTTGCTGTGGAACACACGGTGGACTTCATCGGAAACGACGGTCGCACTATCGTGGGAATTCCGACATGCGAGTGTTTCATTTGTGTGGATACCTGGGGTGTTTCGAGTCTAATGACCACTTTTCATTTTTAAGTATATAGGTGCTGGAAGACCCCGGCAGTTGCGTATTCCCATGTACCAGCAGGCGCTGCTAAGAAACCCTGTGGATTCTACCGTAGGCAATTATTAATGTCGGAGGGCTCATTATCCAATGGAACAAGCCCTGCCAGCAATGTTGCGGGAAAAATTTGTCTGCCACTTTCCGTGAGTAGGCTACTATAGGAAGTATTCTGCAGTCGGAAACACTGTATCGGATGTCATACGAGGGCGTCCTGTTGAAGTCTACCAGTCCGAACTTACGACATGTCTACAGTATCTACAAAAAGTATTGACTCTTTATGCCCCCAGCGGACATTATCTAACGTTATTTACCAATTATCAAATTGGCAAAAAACAGACAATATGGCTAAAAATGGTCTGTGCGAGCAGCCACACGTGCAGCAGAATTTAGAAATTCGCTACGGGAAATAGGAAAAGTTTTTTACGCCCGCCGGTGATCTATTCTTTTGCCTATGAAACTTTTAATATCATTGTCTACAAATTCCGAATTGGAAGTCTTAGTAAAAATAGTGGGCTGCGAACGGAGCAATGATAAACTCGTGCAGTTGAAAGTGATGGAAGAGTTGGGGGAGTTGGGAGTTCCAAAATAATCTGCATATGGAAAATCCACTTCGCAAAATAATCTGGGGTAGCTAGGTGGGCTCTTTCTGAGGGTGGCTGAAACTAAAAGGGCAAATCAGCAAGTGGGAACATAGCGTCACTGCAGTGCAGTTGGCTATGTAGGATGGTGTCAGACCTAGGGCAGAAGCGACAATGTGGATGAAATCCAGCATTCATTTGTGCAGAGCGGAATTCTGGTGAGGGTTAACGGCGATCGAAACAATGCGGCTTAGATGGTGCGCGTCTATATGAGATCGGTCTCTTTTCAAGGATGTTGATTAGACAGGGAATACCGTTTTGGGTTGTACACGAGTAATGGACTGAAAAGGCAGAAATTTTCAATGACAAGTCGTGGAAAGCGAAATCACACGCGAAGAATAAATCGCGAGTGGATGGAATAATTCAGTGGTGGAGTCCTGTATTCAAATGTGTCCCTTTCAAAGTCGTGAATAAGGCTGTTTGGAAAGAATATAGAAAATAAAAGAATAATCGAGTAAGTTTTAAGATAAAGGCACAACCTTCTCTCAAAAGCATATAAACTATTTGACGATCTTATGTCAACTGGCAGGTTATTCCAAAAAACTGTATATCTGGAATCAATGAAACGTGAACATTTAGAGGTTGAGGAGGCAAGAGTAGGTATAAACTGGAAAGAATTCTGTAGGTTGTATGGGCAAATAAAGCGGTAGGGACTGGAATCCGAGACAAATCTGGATCATTACTAACGCGAAAAGAGACAGAAGACAACTTCTATTCATCGAATCCAAAGAAATTTGGGGTTAGTTATCTGGCGTCCATTTGGCAGGAAGCATGTAACTAAGTCATGCCAAGGTGTTTTCTAGGAACGAAGAGTGAGAAAACTCGATGCAATGCAAATTATCCCCCTTCTGGACTAATGTCATTTCACGGACCGCAGTTTTTAATTTCCTGAGCCACTCTAACTACCCAAAAGCATTACTACTTATATTTGCTCCTTCAGGAGTTTTTTAGCTGTCAGCCTCATCGGTACTTCATAATTTATTAGAAAGCTGTTGTAGAAGTCGGTCTTTGTCGAAAATTGCGCGAACAAGTTTTTTTTTCAAATATGTAAATTTTGTTGACCGTCACCATCGCACTTTGTAGCGAGTCCCATGATCGGAATACCCGTTGGCTGAGCAAAAGCCTCCTGCGGTATAGCCGCGTGCGTTCGCTTTTAACTTTGTAGGGATGACCGCGTAATTTGTTTTTACGGACAAACTCAAAAAGTCCTCCGGTTTCAGTGAACAACCTTGGCCACGGCCAGTCCAGAATGTCCAGAGTAGACTGCGATTTATTTGCCAATGGTATAGGGGGAATAGGCCAGGCACATTCAGCCTCTCCTGGTACGAAAAATGCTTTAGACTAAAGACCATTTTCGTTTCTCTGCGTTACACCTGTTAGAGTAGGTCAATATCCTTTCTCTTCCGTGGTGTAGCTGCTGGCATTCCATATTCCAGATGAAGTCTTACAAAGACACCGGAAGTTCTACCGAATATTTCGGGAGGAGATATTTTAAATGCCCGTCTGACCATGTGTAAAGTACTAGTTGCCTTCTGGACCATTTATACAGTGCTCTGATGGCATTGGATTTGTGGTCGTCCACACACCTAGATATCTGTGTCTTTCTACAGTTTCTAACGCCGTCCCGTTAACATATTACTGATGTTGGGGAGAGGCGTTTCGGCTGTCGTTTAGGTGTAGGGCCATGCTTTTCGATACAAAACTTTAAAAGCCGCCTGTTTGGTCAAGCACTCAGTTTGTCGATGTTCTATTGCAACTTCTTTGCCTCATCACCGCGCTTTACTTCACTGCATATTTTATGTTGTCTGTGAGCATTAGAAGCTCGAAATCTGGTTCGTTGATGCAAGCCTTGACACGGGTCAGGGGCAGTATTAGGTCTAAAACAGACTCCTGGGGGATACCACGTTCCACTTTTGACCATTCCAAGATAGAATTACCAAAAACGCTCTCTGTACTCTGGAGAACAGGCAACTCCTGATCCATTTAAACGTTTTTTCTCGGATTTCTACATCCCAAATCTTCTGTAAAAGAAACCTGTATGGGACGTCATCAAAAACCGTCTAGAAGTCAAATATATGATCTATTGGACAACCCTTATGCGCTGCTCTTGTCCATTTCTTTTGTGTATAAAGAACACTTGTGAGGCAGGAACGTACTAGAGGAAAGACATGTTGGGCATCGCTAAATATTTTGTTTTTGTTATGACCTGGTCTGGTGCTCCGAAATCACGCGAAGAGTATGCACACTCGACTTCTGTCCCAATACCCACGCGGCAGAGAAGGAGAAAACGACAGGCCACACAAAATGTGTTGGGGAACTGAGAGTGAGGGGGAGTAGGGAGAGACGTTGGTTGGCGAACCAGTGGAGGGGCACACAAGAACTAGTTTATCGGGTAAAGACAAAGAAGAAAAAATCAGACAGGAGGGACGCTTTAAATTGATCGACAGTCTCCAGTTTTCTATCTTCAGACCTTAGGGCAGGGATCAGATTCTGAGTCCATTTTGTGCCCCGTATATAGTCATATAGGATCTTGGGGTGTTCCAACGAATTTTGCAGGATTTTCAGTTCGAACTTCCTCCGCAGCTTGGAAGCCTCACTTTTACTAATTTTGCGCTGCCGCTTATATTCCCTTAATTGCTCTTGGAAACTGGTAAGCTGTAACACCTCCAAAAGCAACTTCTTTTTGAAAGGGGCCTGTAAGTTTGAGTTTGTCTTCTTCGGAAGGTTTGCATTTGTCTTTCTTCTGAGAGTACAGTTGAGATAAGCAATCCCTTTCAGAAAGGAACCGAAAGTCTTCCAAGCGTCATTTTTTACGTCATGCAGTTCAGTCTTCGACGACATTGCTCACATAAACACATACATACAGCGAGTGACCGATCTCATGAAATGCTGGTTGAAAATCTGAAATGCGTTTTAGATAAGGAAGGATTACTTGGGCGCGGTTGTAATACTGACGACCTTACGGCACTATCCTATAATATTTCGGACTCAGCAGGATATCAATTTATGAATACACTGCTTTTCAATCTCCTGTAGAAACCGCACTCGGTAAAAGATGGCTACTTAAGTAGCATGCATTTTCCCACTTATTTTGATGGTCTTGCAAATTCGAAAATATTTTAGAGAAACTACGAACAAAAATATGCTTTCTTTCAGTTGTTTGATAAAGAATCACGTCTTCTTTATATTTTACACTCAAGTATAATTAGGTTTTAATAAAGTTTCTAATTGCGAGATTTTTAAGACCGCGCAACGTCCATTCACATAGCATCGTACCTGGCCGTTTACCACAGCTCCTCATGAAATGTACAGCATAGTCCGCATTCATTGCAAAATTTTATGGGCTCTAGACGATATCTTTTTAAAGGCATAGAAAAACATGTGATCTTCTCTACGTGGAACTCATGCACCTTGTAGACTGAAATCACTAAGCGCCAATGCATCGAATGATCAGACTCCAAATTATTTTGCAATAAGACAACTTTTTAAAACCTAATTATACTCCTTCCTTGAGTATTAAATAAAAAGAAGACGTGATTCTCTATCTGTTATGACCCGCCTGGTACTTGAAATCCCGTGGAGCGTATGCGCACTCGACCCTGGTCCCCAATATCAAGGCAGCAGACAAAGAACACACGGCTGGCCACAGAACGTGTATTAGCAAACACGTTTCATCAAGTCCCGTCTAGCTAAGGGTGACGCATATTTATCACACGCTAGCGTGGTTCGCCGGCACTCGGTCCAATGACCTTCGGGAAGAGGGGAGTAGCCAATGGGAAAGCGCATGATTGAGATGACAGCGCGGTAGAGAGAGAGAGCAACCGCACGTGATCTCCATCGATTGGTTTGCTCTTGTTTTTGGGAGTGTAGGCACTCCCAACACCTCCCCTCCAAGTGTGTCAGTACCGCTTTTGGCGTGGATTGATCTGCATCGGCAGTGTTGATCGGCGCACGCGGTTGGTCCGGCGTCTTAGTTGTGGTTTGTTGTCTGGAGACCCGGGGGCAGTGACTGATACCAAAGGCGGTACATCCGAAGGAGGCGCAGCAGTGGATTCAGGAACCGACCGATCTGCCGGAATGGCGAAGGTATCCAGTAGGATGTCAAGGGGGAGTGACGGCGCCGGATCGAGCCCAGTTGTGTTACTGCAATGTCGCCGTCGGATCTGGTTGTGGTGACGAACCCAGATTTCACCACCAACGTCGACGTCAAACAACATACTGCCTCTGTGCGCTACCACGGTTGCTTCAATCCAGTCTGGGAACTCCGCTCGATAATCACGGGCGAAGACAGGCGTTCCGATGGAGAGCTTGCTGCGAGAGACTGGAGAAGTCTGCGCGGGCTGCGCACCGGTAGAGACGAGGGCATGAAAAGTTGTACGCAGTTTCCGGCCCATCAACGCTTCGGCAGGAGAAACGCCACCAGGGGACGCCGGGTTCGGTGTTGTCCTGTAGGAAAACAGGAATGCCTGGACTATCTCGTCCGTGGTCCCCTCCCCACGAGCTTTCAAGAGGGCTCTCTTAAACGTGTCGACAAAACACTCCGCCTGACCGTTAGACTGAGGATGGTAGGGCGGGGAGCGAAGATGCTGGATGTTGTGCTGGCGGCAGAAATCCTCAAACAACGACGAAGTAAACTGAGAGCCATTATCTGAAACCAGGACTTCTGGTAAGTCATGTTGGCTAAAGATGCGTCGTAGGAAGGCGATAGTAGAAGATGCGGTTGCTGGATTCAGCGGAGCAATCTCGGGCCATTTCGAGTAGACGTCAACCAAGATTAGGTAGGAGACTCCGTTAAGTGGGCCAGCGAAGTCGATGTGCACGCGTGACCAAGGCCTCTCTGGTGGTTCCCAGGGTACTGGCGGTTGACGAGGCGGCATCTTGGCAGCTTGCTGACATCGAGAACAGCGTCGAACCAGGTCGTCGATGTCGCCGTCAATACCCGGCCAGTAGGCAAAACTGCGAGCAATAGACTTCATTCGGCTGGTACCAGGATGAGCCGCATGGAACTGGCGTAGTACAGTGGGTCGGAGGGAAGATGGGATCACCACACGGTCTGCAAACATGAGGCAGGAGTCAACCACAGATAGCGATGCTCGGCGGAGGAAGAGCTGGCGAAGATCTCCAGTTAGAGCAGTGGCTGGCCAGCAGGTCTGCACGTAGGTGATGGCCTGACGGAGGACAGGATCCTGTTCAGTAGCACGTCGGATGTCCGCGGCAGTGACGGGGATACCCCGTATGGCGTCTGATAGCTGACGGCGCACATCGTCCTCAATCGAAATAGCTGCAATCACGGTATCTTCCTCCGGTTCCTGCTGATTGCTGATGAGGCGAGAAAGGGCGTCAGCCTGACCAAAGTCTGTAGTACGACAGTAGCGAATGTCAAAATCGTAGCCAAGAAGGATGGTTGCCCATCGCTGAAGTCGGCTGGCTGAGTAGACGGGAATGCCCTTCTTCGAACCGAAGATTGACAGCAACGGTTTGTGATCCGTCAACAACGTGAAGTGGCGACCGTATAATAGTTTGTGAAATTTCTTGACAGCAAACACGAGGGCTAGAGCCTCTTCCTCTATTTGCCCATAGTTCTTCTCCGCAGGGGTTAGCGTGCGAGATGCATGCATGAGCGCCTTTTCAGACCCATCAGGAAAAGTATGTGAGATGACGGCACCAACTCCGTGGTTGGAAGCATCTGCAGCAACAACGATCGGCAGCGTCGGGTCGTAGTGCGTGAGCAGCAGATCTGAACTCAGCATCGACTTTAGCTGGGCGAAGGCCTTTTCACAGTCGGGGGACCAGCACCAGGAAGCATCCTTCTGCAACAGACGGTTGAGCGGGGCCCGTACGTCATGCAGCGATGGTAGGAAGGCGCTATAGTAGCTGATCAGGCCAAGGAACGAACGAAGTTGCGATACATTCTTGGGGGCAGGCATCTGCTGGATGGCCCGAATGTTTTCAGGATCTGGATGGCGACCATTGACGTCAAAAACGAATCCAGGGTACTTGATGGAGTCGAGGAAGAATTGGCACTTGTCGGCTCGTAGGAGAATGCCATATTCCTGCACGCGTTCGAGTACTGCGCACACTCGGTCTTGCAGCTCGGCAGGGGAACGACCCACGATGATGATGTCGTCCAGGTACCCAGCTGTGCCAGGGATGCCGGAGAGCATTGCGTTCATCGTTTGTTGAAATAGGGCCGGGGCGGTCTTGACACCAAAGGGCAGCCTGGTGTATTGGAACAGACCGCGGTGGGTATTGATGGTCAACAATTCGCGCGACTCTGGGGCGACCTCGATCTGCAGATACGCATCAGCGAGATCCAACTTGGCAAAGCAAGTGCCACCATTTAGCAGGGTGAAAAGATCAGCCGGAACCGGCAATGGATAGCAGTTCGGCGTCAGTGCGGCATTGAGACCGGTGGAGAAGTCAGCACAAATGCGGACCGAGCCATTGGGCTTCTTAACCACAACGATTAGAGCGGCCCAGGCGGAGTAGGATACAGGAACCAGAACTCCCAGTTCCTCTAGACGTTTCACTTCAGCCTCGACAAGTGGTAGGGCTGCATATGGGACTGGTCGCTTTGGACGGAAGGCTGGTTGACTTCCAGGAGACAGATGTAGCACGGCTTGAGTGTATGTGCAACGACCCAGGCCGTCTTGGAACACCGGAGCAAACCGTTGGAGAATGTCCTTGGCTTGATCTGTAAGCACAGCGGGAATCTGCACCTGACTGCAAACAATGCGGAGCGGCATATCGGCCAACCCAAGTTGTTCAATCCAGTCGAGACCAAGTAGGTTTAGATCAGACTAGGTGATGTAGCAGATCGCAGTGATGCTGGTACCGCGGAACGACACACAGCATTGCAGCTGCCCAATTAGCTGTACGAGACCACCGCACGCGCTTGTGGCGGACTGGGAAGTCTGCTGCATCGTTGGGCTGCCAAGGGACTGCCAGAGTCTCTCAGAGATGATGGTGATATCTGAGGCAGTGTCCAGCTGTAGACGAACTGCATGGCCATTGAGCAAGACATCAACAAATTTTCTACGACCAGACGCATTGAGCTGGAAAACGGCCAAGAGACTCAGAGAATTACCCACGGACTGGGGTTTGGGCTTGCGTTTTGACCGGAAACGGTGCCTGGAATTAGGAGTGGCGGGGGCTGGCTTGCCTCCAGAAGCTGGCAATGATTTGCAGAACCCATCACGGTGTCCCACCTGATTACAGCTTTGGCAGCGATGCTGGCGGAAAGTGCAATCCCAGTGGAAATGCCACACGCCACAGTGCCGACAAGGAGATGGCGGAGATCTCGACTTGGACACTTGCTTGGGCCGTGTAACAGGATGCGATTTGGTCGATGTGACCGTATGGACTGAGAATGATGAGGCCGGGTTCTGAATCATTGCAGAGTCGTGCTTGAGATTGATCAGCGTTTGGCACTCTGCTGCCAGCTCTTGGAGTGTGGTAGAGTTGTTCTGCTGCACTTTGGACAGGAGACGTGTCCGGATAAAAGCATCCTTGGGGGACTGGAGGCCGCAGATAAATATAAGGCATTTAAACTGGTCTTCAGTGAGAGAACCGAGTTGGAAACGCCCACACTCACGATTAACAATGCCCGCGTACGTGATGAAATCATCGGAAGCTCGTTTGCACAGTTGCAAGCACTGAAATCGAGTGTTGAAGAGGGATGATTGCTCACCAAAAATCTGCGACAACGTCTGAACCGTGTCCTTGAAAGCGACTTCCCGGGGATTCTTGGAAAGGATGAAGTTTGCATAACACTCGTGTTCAGCCGGACCCAGTTTGCGAAGTAGAAGTCGGACCTTCCATGCATCGTCCTGGGCAGCCAGATCGACAGAGAACAAGTCCTCGTATCGCTTGTACCAGGAATCAAAGGTGATATGGGCCTGCGGGTCATACAAGAATTCGGTGATGCTGCCGGCAATGTGATCAACAGATTGTGAACCACCAGCCGCGCTTGATTGGCCCATAGATGAATTGGATAGCTTGACGGTCAGAGCCTCCATCAGCTTCAGCTGCTGCTGCAACATCTGCTTCAAGGCTGCGTACTCGTCAGCCATTGTAGTTGAGACACTGCGTCGCCAATTTGTTATGACCCGCCTGGTACTTGAAATCCCGTGGAGCGTATGCGCACTCGACCCTGGTCCCCAATATCAAGGCAGCAGACAAAGAACACACGGCTGGCCACAGAACGTGTATTAGCAAACACGTTTCATCAAGTCCCGTCTAGCTAAGGGTGACGCATATTTATCACACGCTAGCGTGGTTCGCCGGCACTTGGTCCAATGACCTTCGGGAAGAGGGGAGTAGCCAATGGGAAAGCGCATGATTGAGATGACAGCGCGGTAGAGAGAGAGAGCAACCGCACGTGATCTCCATCGATTGGTTTGCTCTTGTTTTTGGGAGTGTAGGCACTCCCAACACTATCAAACAACTGAAAGAAAGCATATTTTTGTTCGTGGTTTCTCTAATATATATTTGAATTTACAAGACCATCAAAGTAAGTGGGAGGTGCATGCTACTTAAGTAGCCATCTTTTACCGAGTAAGGTTTCTACAGGAGATTAAAAGGAGCGTATCATAAGCTGACATTATAGGATAATGCCGTAACGTAGTCCGTATTACAACCGCACCCAAGTAATCCTTCCTAATCGAAAAGCATTTCAGAATTCCAGCAAACATTTCATGTGATTGGTCACTCACTGTAAATACTTCTCTCCTCATGTTAAATAGTACCCCTTCAATACTTTTCTTTTTCCCTATCAGGCAGAGTTGGTTTTGAGAACAATGAGTACTCGAAGTACAGCATAATATGGTCGCTTGACTGTAACAACGGTCGGCCCTGCATGTCTTGCATGTTTTCCATGAAAAATAAATGAATTTTTAAGGGCGTCGAAAATCAGTGATAAAATGCATGCTACCTAAGAATTCATTTTTACAGAGTATAGTTTTTGTATGCAGCCGGAAAGAAACTTCTTTGAAAGCCGGCATCCTGAGATAACTGAATTAATATGGAATTATGCTGCAGGATGATTGGTTTACAACCCTGCTTAATTGATCTTTTCGAAAGAAAGACCAATTTCGGAATTTCGGTTGACATTTTATGAGCAAGCCCATCAACAGTATCTCATTTATACGGTCTTCGACCTTTCTGGATTAGAGGACTCCAAAATGGTCTAAGCTTTTGGCCCTTCTGAAGTCCCCTCGCACGGTATTTATCACTTATCTATGTGGCATAGGTTATGACACACTTAGACAACCATAAAATCAAGCCACTGGAGGCCAGGCATTAAACCGTCCATTCCGTATGACGATACGGGTGAGTGTATATTAAAGTTAGGTGAATATCACTAAGGAAATGGGAAAAAATCGTGGGGTAGGTCGTCTACGGCAGCCTATGATTACAAAAAAATGAAAAATTTATTTGACAACTGCGGGGTTCTCGCGTATTTTGTGGATAATTTTTGAAGCCCCATGTGTCACATAATCAGCTTATTTATTTTGAATAAATGTCGAAACGGCCGAACACGTCGATGGTAGTGCATACAAGATAACGCAAAGCACTGAGTATTATTACTCGCTTAGAATGAATCAAGTAAATCTGTTTGACGGATGTGAATTTTTATATATGCCGATAGTCAATAGTAAAGAAAGGATGAGTTGACACAGAGAAATGACGGCTCCGGAGAAAGAGGTGGGACGGACATACCTGCTGAAAAACTGGTGGGAAAGGGAGTGCTGTGGGAAGTTGTAGGGGAGGGTCGTGGGAGGCTTCGACGTAGAGCGAATAGGACTAGCGTTACGACGGAAGTCGCGGAAATGGAGTCGGTAGTTGTGTGGAGAAGGGCGCCGGCCTTTTCTGCCGGCGTACAGTCACACTATCCCATGCGGGATCAAGCCGAAACTGTCACTACATTAAAGCAATATTCCAGTTCGTTGGGTCTTACAGTGTCTCATCACTACTTACTGTCTGCTATCGGTGGTTTACAGTTATTATGACAAGCCAGAATATCCGTGCATATCCATTATACTGACGGCGTCGCCTCTTGGTAATTTTCCATCAGTTAAAACTTCTGCCCTTTCTTTATATTTTCCCTGTTTTAATAGGTTTGCATCTTTTAAAGGTTTCTGATTTACGTAGATTTGAACTCCGCATACTCCCTTCACGAACTCTCCAGGCACTGTAGAATTATAAAAACAATATGACTTGAATATTGTAAGCAGACATTAAAACAGTTTGCCTATGACTTACTGAAGTAGGGTGTGTAGCGGCTCAGCAGAGAGAATATGTGCAGCATGTGAGCTATAATCGTCAGGCCAAATTCCATGTCTGAAGAGAGAAGACAAAGGGGACCAGAATAAGGAATTTATTGTGCACAGAACCCGGTGTTGATCTTCTCAGGCGACAGTGGCCACTGGCGAAGCCAGGGCTCGTGTTGACTGCGTCCAGTCAGGCCTGAGAGTCCCTGAGACAGTGGTGGCAGCTGCTTTTGTAGGCTCGTGGGCCAAGCTCAAGTGGTGTCCAATCAGCGTGTGTTGCATTTGCCGAGGGGTGGTGTCCCAGTGGCTTGTTCCGCTGGTTGCAGGGGGTGGCGCGTTCGAGTGGCCGCATGGGCAGCTGCGACTGCGCGGACGCAGGTATGCCCGAGCTGTTGGTTGTGTGACTTCAGGTCACCTCGTCTGGGACGGCTCGCTGCAAGGGATGAATGACCTTGAGGCAGCGAGGTGTGGAACAATGACGCCAGACCGGTCATGATGTCTGGCAGTTACAGCTCCCCGCCGTCGATCGTGAGGCAGGCGATGATATGTGTGAAATTATCCAGTGCACATGTGGGTTTGAGAGCGTGTGTCGATGATGACAGAATTAGCTCGGACCGCGTGCCAGTGGGGACGCTGCGACCTGTACAGAGGTGCAGTTGAGGCATCAACCCTGGGTGTGCTGGCGTGGTCTCGTCAACGTGTGCCGGTGAGTTGGCACGTTGGTATGAGACGGAAGAACGTTTCGGACACAAGGCATCCCAGTGAGTGCTGAGTCGGACGAATGCGTCAGTGAAGTAGGTTCACTGTCATCCAGCCACAAAAATAAGGATAGAATGCAGTGTCGAAAGTGGGAAAATTTATCGCCGTATAAAGAGTAGCATGTTGAGTGTATACAAGTGACTCACGAATGACGATTTTGACGGTAATGGGCGGAAGAATGTCTCAAACACAAGAGAGGCATTTAGATAGCAACACATTTGGAGGACTGCTCTGCACTATTTGATCGAGGTTTGACCTAGGCTTGTATGACTGAGTTTTGTTGATAGCATCCATCTCGAATCGCGACAGGTTGTCGGCAGCTGCGTTTTCCTATTCGTGGACACGATGAGTAACACAGGAACAACAGCAAGACGAAGTCGAGTGGAAATTTTGTGGCGGTTGAGTTTGGCCATGTCTGGAGATTGCGCGTCGATCACGTCGGGTCAACAGTTGTAGCGGCTCAGCAGAGAGAATATGTGCAGCATGTGAGCTATAGGTGTGCGCTCGAAAACGGGTATTGATACAAGGTCTCTGTGTTTTCGTCAGTAGGATAATGTGAAAGGTTAATCGTTTATTCGAATTACTGCAGAAAGATTGACTAGACAAAGTAAAATAACGTCTGAATGGAGTTATGATTTGAGAATTTATTTTCACAAGTCGTTTTAGTGAACCGAAATAAAAATGGTGAGTTTGAACAAAACGTTGGCCTGTTTTGAGGTCTTCTGCATGCCAGGGATTTGGGTAGTGCCTTCCCAGCATTTTAAATTTTTGCACCTTCAGAAAGTTTATTCTTCCTTAGATATCAGCCTGTCGGACTACGGGGGTTTTTGTCTATAGTGAATGCCTCTCTTCTTAAACAGAAGTATCCGATTTTTTGGTTTTATGTGTCTTCTTATGTCTCCTTTACGTTCTTTACTGGCAAGATTGTGAGTATGATTCATGCTTGAACGTCTGGTTTTATGCTATTACGAATGAAGGCGACAAGGACATTTTCATTAGTACAGCCGTGATCATGCATGATAACGCGTGCCTAGGCATGATCCAGCCCCCTCGATGATGCCGCGAATGGTACCTTTCCATGTGTGACGGCCTGCAGCAGCCTCTCTGAAGTGCTGGACTCATTGTTTCTTCCAGTGACGGAGGCCGAATACAGGATGTTCGTGCACCGCTTCCGTGTGTGTGCGGACTGTGTCGAGCCAGGTTTGAGTTGGCCACCTCTTCGGCGTCCCGTAGTAAGTATTGGCGCCAGATCGGGGGCAGCAACACTAAGCTTATGAAAAAGGTCCGAAGGCAGCGGTGGTCAAACAGCTCAGGTTCTCGCTCATCATCCATGCGCACAGGCCAGAACTCGCAACCGTTGAGAAGAACTGAATGTAAGGATGCCCGGTACGTGCGGACCTTTGTGAGGCTGAGTATGTCGCGTCGTGTCCATAAACACTTTCTAATGACTACAAGAACCTAGTGAACAGCATCGATTCGGGAGACAACGTCGTCTTTACTCTGTCCATTTGGCAGCAGCCTTGTGCAACCCCTCGTCAGAGTTGAAGCTCAGAACCACTTTGGTCTTCCCAGCGCCTATCGATAAATCGGCCGAGTTAGTGACTCTATTTACCCGCAGATTTACAGATCGTAAGTCACTTAAGCGAAATCGTAAACGAAGTTGATATCTATCAGTCGGCGTCCGGGTGCAAAGATCGGGAGAATATAGAGGGTGTGCTTACGTCTCGTACCCCAGGTCATCCAGTTTCTGCAGTTTCATTCTGCCATCTTGGGGCCGTGCGTTGTCGCTGAGCAGAATTCGGCCGCGTCGTTTTTCTAATGCACGTCACACTTTTCTTAAGTGGGCATGCATTGCCTCGAGCGGCTTGAGTAAACCTCTGTTCTGACGCTCATATTAGCGTTGAGAAATCCTTAATGGACGGGGCCAGTAGCAGACTATCATACTGTTACCATAATCTTTTGCTGATGCAGTTTCAGTTCCGGGAGATGTTTAGATGTTTCGTCACAATCAAACCATTGCCTTGATCGCCTACGGTTATAAT